TCACCATGTTGGCCAGGCTGGTCTCGAACTCCTGACCTCAGGTGATCCGCCCGCCTCGGCCTCCCAAAGTGCTGGGATTACAGGCGTGAGCCACCACGCCCGGCCTGTTTCAGGTAACTTCTTATTGCATGGCTCAATTGGTTAAGAACTTGGGCTCTGGCGCCAGAATGCCTGGGGTTACATACCTGTTTTTCTGTGACTTTGGGCCACTGTTTATCTCAGTTTTCTCATGTGTAAAATAAAGGCTAATAGTAGTACCTACCTCTTTAATATAATTGTTAAAAGAATTGGTACCTAAAGTGTTTATAACAGCGGCTTCCACGTAGTAGGTAGACAACAAATGTCAGCTGTTCTTGCATAGATTTGGATGTGAAGCAAAACTGAATGCTAAAATATTGTGATAACATAATTAAGAAATAAGTGTTAATCATCAGTATAAATTTATTTATTCTCTTCACTTTCACATATTGACTAGTTGTCCTGTTATTTTTTTTAATCTAGCTGTGCTGCCATCATGCCTCAAACCCGATCCCAGGCACAGGCTACAATCAGTTTTCCAAAAAAGAAGCTGTCTCGGGCATTGAACAAAACTAAAAACTCAAGTGATGCCAAACTAGAACCGACAAATGTTCAAGCTGTAACCTGTTCTCCTCGTGTAAAAGCCCTGCCTCTCAGCCCCAGGAAACGTCTGGGTAAACCATCCATTATATCACCTTTTCACTAGCAGCTCGTGACCTTTCTTTTCTCAGTAAGATGTGTGTCCTTTGAAGGAGCTTTCTAAGTTCAGTTAAGACTTTTTTTTTTTTTTTTTTTTTTTTGAGACAGTCTTGCTCCATCTCCCATCCTGGAGTGCAATGGTGCGATCTCAGCTCCCTGCAACCTCTGCCTCCCAGGTTTAAGCGATTCTCCTGCCTCAGCCTCCCAAGTAGCTGGGATTACAGGCGCCCACCACCACGCCTGGCTAATTTTTTTTTTTTTAGTAGAGACAGGGTTTCGCCATGTTGGCCAATCTGGTCTCTGACCTCCTGATCTCAGGTGATCCACCTGCCTCGGCCTCCCAAAGTGCTAGGATTACAGGCGTGAGCTACGGCTCCTGACCCTAAGACTACTCTTCATTTGAGTTATTTTCAGAATGGTTGCTAAGTGCTTACCAAACTCCAGAGTTAAGCCACTTACTGAAGTCACTTTCTGAACTACTTAATAGGTCTGATCTTCAATTCCTTAATGCTGAACTTAGTTCTGTCAGTGTTTTAAGTTACCTTGTAGTTACACGGTATTATGAAATTTAACCTCAATATTTGTGAAATTAAAAGAAACAAAAAGGTGACATGCTGGATATTTTCCGTCCTTTAGAACAGTGGTTGGTAATTCTTTCTTGTTTTGGAACATTTGTTTTTAAATGGGGGGGTGATTTGGTTGTTTCTGGAGACATGTTTGGTTGTTACAGCTGGGTGTTGCTACTGGCATAGTGTGTAGAGGCCAGGGATGCTGCTAAACATTACAATGCACAGGACAGCTCCTTGACAATGAAGAATCATTTGGTTCAAGATGTCAGTGGTGCCAACATTGAGAAAACCTGTTTCAAAACAGCCTTACAATTTCATCCTGGTAAAACCCGTTTGGTTTCTACTAAATGCAGTAGTCCTCACTTATCTATGGGGGATACATTCCAAGACCCCCAGTGGATGCCTGCAATTGAGGATAGTACCAAACCCTACGTATACTGTGTTTTTGGTCTGATAACCAAGCCAGCTACTAAGTGACTAGTGGGTGGATAGCATATACAGTGTGGATATGCTGGCTGAAGGGATGATTCATGTCTCTGGTAGGATGGTGTGGGATTTCATCATGGTACTAAACTGCATGCAATTTAAAACTTGTCAATTGTTTACTTCTGGAATTTTCCATTTAGTATTTTCAGACTGAGGGTAACTAGAACGGTGGATAAGGGCACTACTGTAGTAAGATCAGTGGTGCCATCTGGTGGCCAATATTTGCTGCTAAGTGAGAAGGCATTTTATGTTGGTGGTTCTAAGGTAGAAATTCACCTCTTTCTGGGAGAGGCAGAGGTCTTGCACATCCTTTTACTATCCAATGCTATGACTGACTACATTTTGATTTTATTATGTTTCAGGTGATGACAACCTATGCAACACTCCCCATTTACCTCCTTGTTCTCCACCAAAGCAAGGCAAGAAAGAGAATGGTCCCCCTCACTCACGTACACTTAAAGGACGAAGATTGGTATTTGACAATCAGCTGACAATTAAGTCTCCTAGCAAAAGAGAACAAGCCAAAGTTGACCAAAACAAAATACTTTCTTCAGTTAGAAAAAGTCAAGAGATCACAACAAATTCTGAGCAGAGATGCATATTGGAGAAAGAATCTGCATGTGTGAGACTATTCAAGCAAGAAGGTTTGTTCTTCCATGGCAACTGTTAGTGCAGCCATTGTAACCAAGGCTGATGACTCCAAATGAACCACCCAGTGGGTCTTCTCAGTCACCTTCTGTTGTGTCTAATTGACCTTTTATGTCTGGCACAGGCACTTGCTACCAGCAAGCAAAGCTGGTCCTGAACACAGCTGTCCCAGATCGGCTGCCTGCCAGGGAAAGGGAGATGGATGTCATCAGGAGTTTCCTGAGGGAACACATCTGTGGGAAAAAAGCTGGAAGCCTTTACCTTTCTGGTGCTCCTGGAACTGGAAAAACTGCCTGCTTAAGCCGGATTCTGCAAGACCTCAAGGTATATTGAGAGTCTGAATTATGATGCTCTTGGTAAATGATACTTGGGTGTTTTGTTTTTGAAACAGGGTCTCACTCTCTTGTCCAAGCTGGAGTGCAGTGGTGTGATCTCGGCTCACTGCAGCCATGACCTCTTGGGCTCAGGTGATCCTCCCACCTCGACCTCCTGGATAACTGGGACTACTGGCACTCACCACTACGCCCAGCTAATTTTTTGTAGAGACGGGGTTTCACCATGTTGCCCAGACTTGTCCTGAACTCCTGAGCTCAAGCAATCGGCCTGCTTCAGCCTCCAAAGTGCTGGGATTACAGGTGTAAGCCACTGTGGCTGGCCAGCACTTAGTTTTTAAGAGTTAAGAAAGAGGGCTAGGCACAGTGGCTCACACCTGTAATCCCAGCACTTTGGAAGGCCGAGGTGGGCGGATCACCTGAGGTCAGGAGTTCGAGACCACCTTGGTCAACATGGTGAAACCCTGTCTCTACCAATAATAGAAAAAAAAAATTAGCCGGGTATGGTGGCAGGTGCCTATAATCCCAACTACTTGGGAGGCTGAGGCAGGAGGATCACTTGAACTTGGGAAGCAGAGGTTGCAGTGAACTGAGATTGCACCACTGTACGCCAGCCTGGGTGACACAGCAAGACTCCATTTCAAAAGAAAAAGGAAAAAAAAGAGTTAAGAAAGAGTAGGCCTGGTGTGGTGGCTCACGCCTCTAATTCCAACACTTTGGGAGGCTGATGCGGGTGGATCACCTGAGGTCAGGAGTTCAAGACCAGCCTGGCCAACAGGGCAAAACCCCATCTCTACTAAAAATACAAAAATTAGCTGGGTGTGGTGGTGTATCCCTGTAATCCCAGCTACTTGGGAGACTGAGGCAGGATAATCACTTGAACCTGGGAGGCAGAGGTTGCAGTAAGTTGAGATTGTGCCATTGCATTTCAGCCTGGGCAACAGAGTGAGACTCTGTCTCCAAAAGAAAAGAAAAGAAAGAGTAGAAATTTCGAAGATTGAAGGTTTCTTCAAAACAAGACATTTGTAATTTCGTTGTTTAAATCTTCCCAAATGAAAGTAGAGCTTCCTTACGCGCTGTTAACTCTTCAAAGACATTTTAGGCTCTATCAGATCTTTATTTTCTGAGGCCAAAATAACTACCATGTTTGCATTTTTTTTCCAGAAGGAACTGAAAGGCTTTAAAACTATCATGCTGAATTGCATGTCCTTGAGGAGTGCCCAGGCTGTATTCCCAGCTATTGCTCAGGAGATTTGTCAGGAAGAGGTATCCAAGCCAGCTGGGAAGGACATGATGAGGAAATTAGAAAAACATATGACTGCAGAGAAGGGCCCCATGATGTAAGTATTGTTCTGCTTCATGTTGCTCTGTGAAAATCTGCAAGGTCTGTTGCCCATAAAAAGTACATTTTGTATATTTGCTCTCTGAAGGATAGTTACATAAGCTTAAAGGGAAAGAAGAGAAGGAAGATACACCTAATTTTAAATTGGATTACTTGTAGATGATGTGGAGTCTCCTTGTAACAGTAACTAGAGATAGGATAGATTATGATCTTTAAACTGGTCTGAGCTTTAGGAAAGTGACCTGAAGACAGCCTATACCAAACATTAGAGGGTTAGGAAGGTGAATATGGATCCTAACTGTTTCTCTTTTTATAGTGTGTTGGTATTGGATGAGATGGATCAACTGGACAGCAAAGGCCAGGATGTATTGTACACACTATTTGAATGGCCATGGCTGAGCAATTCTCGCTTGGTGCTGATTGGTTAGTGCTCAATTGTTAATGTTACGTGGTGGTTTTAAAGTATTTTTTTTTTAAATATATATTCAGCTTATTTATCAACTATTTTATCTTAAACCAGCTTTCTGCCTTGTCAAAATAGAAAGTTAAATGACTAGGTACATCTTACCTAATAGATATATCTTATCAGTTGGGATGGGGTAGGAGACAACTGTGAAGCAACATTAAGATGCTAGATTCTATAACTGGAAATTTATTTAGCTTTCAGAGGATTTAGTTTTCCCTTTAGGATAATGTGACCAATGATCAATGTTGTTGATCTCCTCCTTAGGTATTGCTAATACCCTGGATCTCACAGATAGAATTCTGCCTAGGCTTCAAGCTAGAGAAAAATGTAAGCCACAGCTGTTGAACTTTCCACCTTATACCAGAAATCAGATAGTCGCTATTTTGCAAGATCGACTTACTCAGGTCAGTGCCAACTATTTTGCCAAATTATGTGTTTCTTGGATCACCTGTGCTAGGAAAATTTAACAATAGTTTTAAAATATTTTTGCCTTGATTGCTTTATTAATGGAGCAAGAAGTTCCTGTGGACCATAGTGAGAACATTTTTATGTGAATTTCTGCTTCATTCATTTACTGGGTTTCTCAGTGTTGAAATAAAATCAGGAGTTAGAGGAATTTTGAGACGGAGTTTTGCTCTTGTCGCCCAGGCTGGAATGCAATGGCATGATCTCGGCTCTCTACAACCTCTGCCTCCCGGGTTCAAGCAATTCTTCTGCCTCAGCCTCCCGAGTAACTGGGGTTACAGCACCCGCCACCACGCCCAGCTAATTGTTATATTTTTAGTAGAGCTCGGGTTTCACCATGTTGGCCAGGCTGGTCTCGAACTCCTAACCTCAGGTGATATGCCTGTCTCGGCCTCCAAAGTGCTGGGATTACAGGTGTGAGCCACTGTACCCGGCCTCAAGTGCTTTCTTTAATGACTTTTAAAAAATAGGGCCTATGAAAAAGCTTTTTCTGTTGAAAGTAACTAAATAGATATTTTATTTTTGCTAATTTCAGTTCTGATTGCTTTTTTTCCATTTATGAACTTCTACCACATCCGTACAAAATGCTTAAATGTGTGAAAACTCTCAAATATCTCCATTATTTATGAGAAGAAAAGGCATCTTTTTGACCCTAAAGAGTTGCCAATCAAGTTTAGGGTTAAATGTGAAAATATTTATGCTTGGGACATAAATTACCGAGGGAGAATCCTATAGTTCAAACTGTCATATTCTATGTCTTGTCTTAAGGTATCTAGAGATCAGGTTCTGGACAATGCTGCAATTCAATTCTGTGCCCGCAAAGTCTCTGCTGTTTCAGGAGATGTTCGCAAAGCACTAGATGTTTGCAGGTGAGTTATGGCACTGTTGCCTCCTTTTATTAAAAAAAAAAGAAATGCTGTTAATTGTCTCATGTAACTCAAGTGAATGTGGCTTAAGAGGCTCTGTTCTGCTACTTTTTTACGCTCAGAAAGGAGGACTTGTTTCTCAGTGGGGAGCTCTGGATTTCCACCGTGTTAATGTCTGAAACATTATCAGTCCATTACCTACAGAGGGAGAAACAAATGAGATGTTGCTGGCACTCCCTGTGGTGATTATAGATTGGTTAATTACATTTGTATTAAAAAAGACTCCAGTTTACTTTTCCATTAGCTGGTCTCAAGCAGGTTTATTTATGGACCTGAACCATCTTTGCCTTTAGACTTTTTCCCTTCCTTTCCTTTTGTGAGCACCCCTTCTTCCCTCCAGTTGGTGGTCCCCCATAGTTGTACTCCAGACCTCTTTCTCCCTTCCCATCCCCCTGCCCCTCCTGCTGGGGAAAGCCTCTGTGCTGACTGATGAAATTTCTTCCTTCCCAGTAGGGACGCTGGGTCCATTAAAATGATACTTGCTGTGCTGGCCTGCTGGTCCAACCTCCCACTATTGCCATGCAGAAGACCCAGGTCTGGCTTATGGCTTCCTGTGGGCAAAGTACTTTGGAGAGAGCAGTGGGAGAGTAAGCTCTTCCTATTGCTAGATTGCATGATCCTGAATTTGAAAGTTTCCCCTAATCAGCAAACTACTTGGGTAAAGACTTCAACTATGAGCAATAGTCATGTAGGCTAGGGTGGTTTAGCCTACACATATCCTATGTATTTATAACTGAAGATATCTCTTTTAGGTTTGGTGTGTATGGGTGGTGCTGGCTCCCTTTAGTTAGTCACCCACACTACATATCCTCTCTCCTACCCATGACATTTTCTCCTCATCCAAGATGTTATCATTGGCTTAATGTATGATGACCTACTTGGCATCTATTAGGAGGAAAGCATTGAAGTTTCTCAAATCTGACGTCCATGAATTATTTCAAAGCAATTAAGTCTCCTTATCTGAGAAATAACCCAGTTTTGTTTGGGGGCTTTAAAATTACAAAACATCATAATTTTAAAGTTAGACATAGGATATGTATAGGCTAAACCATGTTAGCCTACATGACCATTGTTCATAGTTGCAGTCTTTAAGCAATGGTCATTAATGTGCCTGCTTTTGAGGCTGGTGGTTTGGTATGGTGTTTGGTTTGGCTCACACTAAATTAATTTTAGAAATTTTTTTTATAGGAGAGCTATTGAAATTGTAGAGTCAGATGTCAAAAGCCAGACTGTTCTCAAACCACTGTCTGAATGTAAGTAGTTTATCTTCTTCTTGTCTTCCTTTGTAACTAGAAGCTTAGCTTTTCTGAGGAAAGAGGTAAAAAGGTGAAATGAACATAGTTAAATCCAAAATCACCCATTTTTATGTGTGTCTGTGTTTTTAGTCTGTTTCATCTACTTTATTTCAATCTTGCCTGCCAGTACTATAGTTCATGCATTACTGGAAATGAGTTCCCAGGGTATTGCGTAAATGGCTGGGACAGAGTAAGTTTTCTTTCCAAGCTCTAGAAATGAAACTTGTAGACAATGAGGTTGGATCAGCTCTCTAGGTGCTTATGTTGCGTGCACTTTAGGTCTCAATATAGGTGAAAGCAAAGCCTGATAAATAAGGGAGAATTGGGTAAAAGAATTGTGAGGCCAGAGGCCCGGCGCGGTGGCTCAAGCCTGTAATCCCAGCACTTTGGGAGGCCGAGACGGGCGGATCACGAGGTCAGGAGATCGAGACCATCCTGGCTAATACGGTGAAACCCCGTCTTTACTAAAAAAATACAAAAAACTAGCCCGGCGAGGTGGCGGGCACCTATAGTACCAGCTACCCGAGAGGCTGAGGCAGGAGAATGGCGTAAACCCGGGAGGCGGAGCTTGCGGTGAGCTGAGATCCGGCCACTGCACTCCAGCCTGGGCGACAGAGCGAG